TTGGATCGCAGAGAGACACGGGATTGGCTGAGGCCAGGTGGTCCAACATGTCTGCGCCCTAATCCGACGCCACAGCCACAGCCACACCACACCACAACACTACACCACACTAGTTGCTTGGACACCCATGTAGTCGTATTTAATCAGTAGCATTTCGCTGACATAATCGAAGGAATTTGATCATTTAAGAGGTTAGTCCCACTTTTTTGTGGGCAATCGCAGATATTGCTAGCTTATAGGTTAAAAGTCGAGCTCCCTCCTTAATATCCGTTTTTTTGTTGTATTTCCAAGAACATAGCTGCAGTTTCGTCTACTTATCTATACTACTCCATTAAAGATATTTTGTTTGATTAACTAATTTCATTCCCCTTCGAATCCGATTAATTTTCTGGGGATGTAAATTCCCTCCAAACTCGTCCATGATTGCACGCATTGTAGGTTGTTAAAAGGTTCTCACTTCATTGTTTATTTTATTTAGGAATGAACCCAGAGCACGTTCAACATCTTAGTCGAATGCAAGTTGATCTAGTAAGGGACCTCAATAATATTGAAGCTATAACTGACTACCTCGTTTCTGAACAAATTCTTTCGAGAACGCAAGCAGAGCAAATCCTTTCTCAAATCTCTACTTCAGATAAAACCCGAAGTCTTCTCAATACTATTGTGCGATGCGGCCCCGACGCTTATCAGGCCTTCGTATCTGCCCTTTCTAAGACTGATCAACTGTCTCTTGTGGAGAAATTGGCCACTGTAAGTGTGAACGCTCAGTCACTTCCACCTCCGCCACAGTTAAAAGCCCGAATAAATGACATTGGACGTCGTCCGCAATCATTAGCAGTATATCCTGTCACCTCCAACCCACGTGGTTACATCCTTCTCGTTAATGTGTCAAAGTTTAAGGTGGGCTGTGGTTTAAACGAACGAGTGGGTTCGTTAGAGGACGTTTCGGCTCTGCAAGCACTGTTCAGTGACATTGGATATTGTGTTGAAGTTCTTCTAGACCCCGATTTTAGGTCGTTGGATTCAAGCTTAAAGGCGTTCATAAGAAGCCCTAATCACAACAAGGTGGACGCTGGAGGCCTTATTGTAATGTCGCATGGACTGCAAGATTATATTTACACATCAGACGGGAAGCTTTTTGCTATTAATGACATCCTCAACGTTTTCACCAACAAATCCCTGCCAGCGCTTGCAGGGAAGCCCAAGTTTATTCTCTTTCAGGCTTGTAGAGGGGAAGAAAAAGACCGTGGCTGCATGCTCACATCAGACGTCACTAGAGGTATTCCATCCCCTATAGAGTTTGTGGACGCCCCGACAAAAAACGCTTCATGGAAGTGTTTGCCTTATATGAGTGACTGCGTAATTGCTTACTCAACCCTCCCCGGCTTTGTATCCTGGCGATGCGAGAAACAAGGGAGCTGGTTTATTCAAGTTCTAGTCGATGTCTTCCGTAAGTACGCCTCCACTTTTCATGTGCTCGAATTATTAACCGAAGTCAATCGGCGCATGGTAGAGGAGTCTCAACACCGCGAATTCAAGCAAATCACTCAGCCATCAAATACGCTTACTCGAGCTTTCTATCTCTCAACCTCGCATTTCTCATCAATTTAAAACCATCCAGCATTTTTAAGTCGCCAGCACATCGCTTATTGTCTAAGTCGTTTTTCTTCTTATCGAGGCCGCATGGGTTTAAGGTCGCTTTCATAGCTGTAGGCTCTGAAGATTGAGAACCTTCTATTCGTATGCACACCCCCATTTATCATATTTGTGCCGCATATCTACACTAATTTTTTACCACCATGGACATGTTGATCCCTCAGCAAAGCCTTGCCACGAGTCTAATTGATTCCTGCAGATCTCATCTATACTGACACCATTTCTCCAACCTAGGGTGTTTTCCATGTGGTTTTAGTCACAAGAGACTGTATGATTATATATGTGCTTTTCTTACGTCCCCGTTATTTTGCTTTCGGTACTGTTTAATAATCAACAAAAGCAAACTGTTACCTAAAAGCCTTCTTAATCGAAATCAATGTGGACCTCACCGCGGCCCAGGTTCCAATGTTTGTATCATCAATGAGCATGTCATGTCTATTCTTGCGTTAGCGAAAATGCCCATTGGAGTTATAGGTCCGCCTTTCCCACAGGCATCTTTGGATTAGAAGTCTGGAATAAGTATCTCAAATGTGAAAAATAAGTAGATATTGTTTGAAACTAGGTTATGCTGCTCAGGCGCATTCACTATAAAATTACGAGACTTGGCGTTGCGAAAGCGCTCGTATTGTTGAGTGTCAAGTAAGATTATACAAGTTGCTAAGCTATCGAAAAAAATTAGTCATGTACGAATCATCGTTTCGTTTCGTAACGATGTGGCAATCACGAGACAAGGGATATACTAATTATATTAGCTTGTTCGGTGTGCTGTGCGGCTATTTGAAACTTCAACAATTTGTGTAACATCATCAAGACCATTGGTTGGCGTCACCGAAGAGAAACACCGGGCAACATTTGGTTGCATTAAACCTCGTCGATTGGGAAAACGCCTAAACACGGCAGTGGCATCAAGGTACAGATAACGACAATAAAATAATAATGTTATTGTAGAAATTATACAATTTCAATGTGTAGTAGCTGTACAAACTGATGTCATTTTACTCAGCCATCGCCATGAGTTCACTGAATGAGACCGGGTGCCACCCGGAGTCGTAGGAGTTGAAACAGAAGGCGACGTTGCGGTCAAAGAAGACCTGCTGTGTCTCCAGGCGATACACCTGCTTCCCTTCGTGAAAGCGGTTAGCTATTGGTAGGAAAAGGAAGCCTCTTTGAGCAGCCGTCTGCTCCACTTGCTCGCGCAGACTGGTCGGAAGTGCCATTGGGAGCAACGGCTGCCCAAACGGTAGACGCCGTGGCATTCCGCCGAATCGGCCCGAAGCCCCAGATATGGGAGGTGCCCTATTATAGGGTGGTGCTTCCTAAAATGACACGTGCGTATGTCTATCTCAGCTCACATACACTCTCTTAAGACACGCGAAATCGACGGGGCTCAGGTATGAATAGGCCACCAAACAATCAGGACAACGTTAAAAAGCTAGCTATCACTAATACGTTTTGCGGATCACCTGATTCATAGAGCAAGAGCAATTATTACGCGAATGACGTCAGGGATTCCCAAAGAGAACGTCCTAGAAAAGGCGAATATACCGTTTTGTACGTATATGCCTTATAAGAATGGATGGCCATTAAGTTTGACCAGACAGTAGTGCCAGATTTTCCACAATCATAAGACCCATTTTTGGGGAGAAAAGGTACTTAATTTGCTCCTATTCATAATTCGAAATATGCTAGTACTAGGTAGCCCTTCGCAGTATTCATATTATTAAGAATTTTACACACCCGGATTCAAGATCTTACAATAAATACACTGCAACCAATGACAACACGTCCCAGAATTTCACTGGTTCCTTGTTGTCAAAGGGTTAGGGGGACTTAGTTTATTAGGCATTCGACTTTTTGATTCTATAATGAATTTCGGACCGAGGTGTACACGTACTGGGTCTTTTCAGTGATGTATTCGGAATGAATTATCTAGCTCTCAAATGTAGATCACAGCTAAAAAAAGCTTGATCATCCAAATTCGAGACAGAAAACGTGTACGATGGACAACCCCTTCGAGTGTGAGCGACCTGCGTGATATCCACTGCGGTTATCGCCTTAAATCAATATTCAAGAACCATGGTACCGCCATTGACAGCTAATCCTGATGGCGGCGTACCCAAATAAAACTGAACAAATACAAATTGTTGGTTAAAAACCAAAAGACGTAAAAAGGTAAACAAACCGGGGGTATTCCACGCATTGCGCGATCCATGAGGTTTAATGCCTGGGTTAAGGCATCTTTCAAACTGGGATAGTCGGTTAGTTCGGATGGAATTTGACTCTTCCAGCCAGAGTACCATGCACCAATCTCGCTGAAAATTTGTCCCACAGCGGGAGCGTTGCGGTTACGAGAATCTACTGCCTGCGTAAGCCACTCAGAGAGGCAATGCAACCAGCGGGGTAAGAAGAACCGTTCCAGTAGGTCTGCGATCACTGCCGGATCGATGATTTCGAGCCAACGCATTACCCAGTTCCATGGTTCCATCTTCTGGTCTGCGGGGTTTATCTGTAAAAACGGGAGGAAAAAAAGGAATGTGTACCTAATTGATTGCATTAATCGGTCTAACAGAACAGCCCTCAACACGGCACAGGCACATCGGCATAGAAAGACCACTCGCGACCGGGTTGATGGGTGAACTAATTAAGGTTGGCCTTGTTTTGTTTGAAAAAACGGGGAACTGACTTGATAAAATCCTCAATTTTCGCTTTTGAATAAGAAGATCAAATTCCAAAACAATGTTTACGACTTTGCGAAATTGAAATTAGGCAAAACAAAATCGAATGTGTGTAGCTTCATCATTCATAGATCGAGAGGGAGACAGTTTACTCAGATAACCTAGATACAGAACAGTATATACCCAAAGGCTTACAGAGATGATCAATTGAAGGACTTAGATTTTAACAATGATCGGATGCCTAAATGATTCAACATTGGCATAGGATCGGCATGTTTAATGACAGAGGCTTTATGAGAGGACATTTTGTTAAATACATTCAAAGCACATCGTACATGTTGGTTTTAGACGGTGACTTAGAGAGGAGAATGACGACCACGGAAACATGAAGGGCAGTTCAGTCAACTGTCTAGTCACGAGGCACCAAATTACGCCACTGTGGAAAACCCAAGTATGTCAATACGGAAAAAAGTTTGCAAGGCTCGATAAAGAGCACTGAGTGTATATTGCAGGTTTAAGTTCAGCGACTTGAAGCCCGTATAACAAAACACTGGCCAAGTGAGCGATTTGCCCCTAAGGCCACTCACGAAACGGAAGGAAACTAATTTTAAAAACAGAATAAACACCAACCTGGAATGTTTGCATCACATGAGCTAGTTTTGGCACGATGTTTCGATTGAGGAAGATGGCCATTTCAGCCATGGGTATGACGTTGCGCCAAGGTAGAAGGACGGAACTCGCAGAGGAGTCAGAGGGGTGCCAGTTGTTGAGACAGAGAGCCAACTTATGCAAAACCACCTCGTGTACACTAGCGAGGCGAGAGGCTCCGCCGAACCATGGCAACCATGGGTGCAACCATGTGTGGATGGGAACAGTGTCTGTCAGAGGATTCCACGCCTCCACCGCCGACTAGGGAAGGCAAAGAACAATTCGCTACTGACAGGGCATGTAACAGGAGTGATTAAGCAACTACAGGCTAACAAAGAAGTATGTATGGGTGGATGGAACAAATACATGTACTCCAAACAAAAGTAATTTTATTGGTATTACTTAAAATTTGGCTTTGGAATCGAAATATGATAGAGGAAGCACTTCAAATCTTTGTCGATGAGTCATGAGTGAGAATGTTTCCGATGCAAACTAAATAGGTAACTGTCAATCACGATATTGCCGGCTTTTCTGGTCCGATAATTATGATGTACAGATTTGAAGTAATGAACTGAAACTACGTGTGAAAAACTGCGCGGGTTAACAAAAAGTGATTTTAAGACGGCCTAGAGTGGACTTGCATAGCAAATATTAGCGAAAACAAGTAGTTGTGGCTCACTCGAAGACGATGTAGGACAAGTCCATCGAGAAGATCGTGCTGAAGTAGATCATCGGGGAGGAGAGATTGCCAGGACTCAAAGACGGTTAGGAGACGCTCACAGTCATGAGGGTCCCATTCTGAAGTGACACAACGTCGTATCTGCGGCAGCCAACTAGTGCGCAGCAAAATCTCAAAAGCACCGTCATCATCAAGAACAGACCTCCATTCTTTTAACACAGCCAGACCATAAGTAGGATTCTGGAATTAAAAACAAAAAGAGAATACTGTGTCACGCAGATGTTTAAAAGAAAAGGCAGTGAAGGGATGAAAATGTGGTACGCAGAAAAAAATTGACAAGTAAAAAATGGGTGATGAATAGCACTGAGTCCGAAATTTTCAACTCAGAATCTACCTAGGAGTAAATGCGGTGATATTACTATCCCAAAATAATTTTTTCAACGGTGCCATTAGCGATTTTTGACACTCAACCAGGACATTCATCAGTGTTCTGGTCGTATTAACATGGGGACTGTGTATTTAGCTAAACTAGAAACCAAGAGATAATCAGTCGCACAACAGTCGATCTATTCAATTTGAAGTCGGTTTCACATAAAACGTACTCGTACGCGAAAAAAATGGCACCTCAAGGAGACTGAAGGTGTCGTAAAAGTGCAACGGTCGATCGACCGATACATAAAACTGCAACGGCAGCTACGCGGTACTTTTAATGTTGCGGAGTTCCGGCAGCCTGCAATAATAAACAGGGCCCCGAATGCCAACAATAAGCACAGGAGACTATACTGAGGAATTTCCGAGTACACAGGTCTGAAGTTGTTAAAGTAATGTGTAGTGGGATTAACTCACGGAGAGCGGTTTCCAATTTGTAAGTAGACTATCCAAAAGAGGTCGAGCGATTGCAGCTAGGAGAGCAGGTAGCTCTTGTAGATCTGCGCACTCGCGGCGAATTCTCGTAAGCCATGAAGAACACGACTCAGGATTCGATCCAATGCTGCCTTTTTTAAGCGCAGACTCAAATTGAGTAATGAGGTCAAGGGCGGCTGTCAATTCGTCTACGTCAAATGCGGCCTTCTCAACTACCTGCAGCAAAAGAGCTTACAAGTGAGATTAGCACTCACGGAAACCGAATGCACCAGCTAATCAGCACATCCCGTCTGTGGTAAGGTGGGTAAAATGAGGCGTTGTTAAAACGGATTCTGTGACTGCAGAAATTAAGGAAAATGCTGACGCATAGGAAGAGCTAATAAAGTTTTTAAGTGACTCACCTCACTGAGTCGCTCTATTTCATGCTCCAACCCCGCCGCCCTGTCCTCTTCGTAGCGTGCACCGCGATCCAAACGCCTAATTTCATCCTCTGTAGACTTGACAACCAGATCAATGTTGTGACAAAGAATGGGAACCTCGAAAAAGCGACCTTCGATGAGCCGCTCGCGTTTACGGGCCTCGGCGTCTGGACCGGAAGCGCCCATACTCTCTGAATCTTCGTCATCAGCACGACGACTATGCCGCATTGAACTACCAAGTGCTGCTTCGTAGCCCTCGTACACACGTTGCTCACGTTGAGTCATGTCAATCACTTTTACTTTGCTCAATTCACTACAAGAGTTAGTAGCAAAAATGAAATTACAAATTCACATAAACATTAAGTCACCCTAATGGTTAAAGAAGGAAAAATCTTTTTGGCTGAGGATTTTGTGATAATAAAGGAATGACTAGTACACAATCAAATACTAACAATTGAAAGTAATCGACAGATAAGAAACACGGACACTAAGTTGGACAATTCAGAAAACAGATCAAAAGTGGAGTGCGAACACGGATTTAAGGGATCGATATCAACGATAATCTTGGGTCACAGTGATAACAAACATTCACAAGAAAAAAAAGGCGCAAGTCGAGCTAATGGCGATGTAATGCCTACTATGTAGTTGCTTTAAGTGCTATTCCTGGCAATCAGCGACTGAATAAATTGATTTGTGAAAGTTACGCGATTAATTAATACTTGGACGAATGCTTAAAGTACGATGTAATTCCTGAAAAGAACTTATACATACCTGTTTTGAATAAAAGGTCCATGAGCCTTGATCGCTGCTGCCGGTGTAGCTGGACTGACACTAGCAATAAGTTCATCGGCCGTCATGTAAATGGTTTTATGAGTTTGCTTTCCCGAAATAGGACCACCATTTACAGTGGACTTTTTCTTGTAACGAGGAAGACCTGCTAAAATAAACGTATTTAGCACAATAAATTAGAGGCAACGTGAAATAACCTGCTATTACTTACATTTGTCGTCATGTCTATCTTCAGGTGGAGCGGGCTCGTTGCCTTTGCGGGGTGTGGGGGCAACTTCAGTACCCATTGAACCGACAGCACCTTTCCCAACACGTTTAACTGCCTCAACTGGGGTGACAATGCCTTGACCATCTTTGCCAAGTCCTTCTCCAGCTTTGAAGCCCATCTTTTGCAGTAACTTCATCCCAATACCCTTAGTATGTCGTTCCCAAGATCCGAAACCTCGATTAGTTGACGTCGGTGCTAGTCGCCGTGTTCGACCATGTGCTGCCTTGACAGAAACCTGGTGCTTAGGTGAATCTTCCTTTGAATGGGTGCTTTTCGAAAAGAGACGCCGGTCCTCTTCTTCATCTGATATGTCAACATCTACATCTTCCTCATTGTCAATAAGAGAAGATTCTTTTGTACCCTCCTATAACAAAAAAAACCGCATTATTAGGAAACCTGATATATATGCATGCATCAAGATTATTAAAGTTCAGCCCCTAATCAATTAATTCCGAAGCAATCCATTGACGACTAGTCAGGTCTCAACACTTAACCCTCAGGTACTCGAGAATGCCCAAAAAGAACACTTTGATGATAAGATACCTTAATTCCACCACTGACAAAAGTGATGGGTCCAGAATAGTTTGAACCCTTACGCTTGCGGATGGAGGCCTTTGTGCTCATTCCGCTTTCTTCCAATTCAGAGTCAGAATCTGAGGCAAAAACACCATAGATCTGTTGCTTCTTTGATGTGTAAGCTCGACGTTTGAGAGGATCGAACATATATTCATAGTCAGCTTCAGAAACTCCAAATCCCTCCATTTCAGGTGAGGAGTCCATCTCGTAGGGAGCTGAAAATGAGCGGCTACGATACGACAGACTCAAACAAAATATTAAGAAATAACTGAAGCACTATTATGCATCAGTAATTTTATAATAAGCTTTTAAAGGCTCTTTTATTTTACGTTAAACCTAACATCGTGGTTTTAAGCCAGAATTTTTAAAAGCGGCCCTAATTTAGAATATAGTTTAAGGCATATGACGTAGGACGGTTTGGAGGAATCTGCATCCAGATATTTAAACTCATCGGGCTCATTATAATTGGTTGCTAGCTTTTAATACTGACATCTATTTTAATATTTAATGATGTAACCCAGACAGCTCTTACTTCTTATGGCCGTGGTCAGTTGCTCTGCTAGCATTTGCTTTCGACAAATATGCACAATATATAATTTATCGTAATACCTTCCCAAAGTTGCATTTTTTGCGGCAATTCGATTTTAATAGCTATTAAGAGTTAAAAGCGAGGCCTTGACACTCTCATTTTCAATCCAAAGTTTGGATAGGGGTAAATTCAAGTAGGTGGATGTTGACATAATGGTGAAAATTCAAATATTCAAGACCACTTTCTTGAGGTTGACTATTTGTTAGAATCACTAAATAAATGCTAATAATCCTGATGTTATTTCACCAAAATTATTTAGCAAAGGCCTGTACAATTTTAATACAGTTTATGAACTCCAATTTAAATACAAATTTTTGACAGATAAGACTAGGTATTGTGCTTAATCAAGACACTTTTTTTTCTGATGAGATGTATGATTTCGTCCATTTTGATATTAGAGAAAATATCAAGGCCGAGGCACCCTGTAATTAATCTCAAATGTGTATCGAAGAAATGTAGATGGACCTAGCCAGACGGTAAAGCAGCCGTCGTGCAATGGTGTTTTTTTTAGAATTCTGCAAATCGTTTTTTGCTAATAAGCTTTTTTTCAAAATATGAATTGGTAAAATTTCACCAGCATCCAAACCATAGGTCAGCAGTTATCCGCTCGTATGTGCATATTTTCAGTATTCATTTTTTGGGTTTACCATAAATGTGCTGTTTTTATTTTTATTGTAAAGTCCATAAAATGAGGTCCTATTTTTAACGATTACAAAAATGCAGTGCAACACAAAGATTGAAACATGCTCAAATGTATACCATGTTAAATTACAATGGTATTCTGTTTTGAAATTTCGAAAATAATAATAAATTTTTGCGTTAATAAAAATATTTTTGTGGCGGTTGCAACTAATATGGTCACAAAATACTAAATTGCGAGGGTTTATAAGGCAGCTTTTAAGATATGGTTTCGCAGTCTGTTTCGTAACTTGGCACATTATCATGAGACAAGTGTTCTTTAAGGCGATGACTAGGGAAATTTGTTTGCATCAGTTTAATTAGCTTGGACAGGCTATTTCTTATTTTTTTGGCATAAAAACATTTTATTAGGCTCGTGCGCATTGTCTTTTTTAATGTGAAACGTACATTAAATTTACTTAAATTTGATAATGAAGACCAATCTGGTTTAAAATTCGCCTTTATAGTTTCCTTGGTGTCGGTGTATATTTAGTTTTTGGTACTTACCAAGACTTAAAAATCTATTTTGATATGAATTCTTGAAATACCTTTGTTAATTTGCAATTCGCGTATTGCATGATGGCTTTGGTTTGCATTTTATGGTGATAATATGCTACCTTTGTAAAGATTCCTTAATAGGTAAATGGATTGCTTGGTGCATTACTGTAGAAGTCAAGATTTTGCATTATTGTATCTGCTAGTCATCTTGAAAATTTACTTCATTAGTGTAACTTAGCGAAAAAAACACACGAGAATTCAGATCCTCGCCAGTTTTACATCGACGTTTAGCGTAATTCACCAAATTTGCTCACGGGTAAATACGAGACCACCGGAGGCCTATTTTGCACAGTCATCAAATTTCAAAAAGTTTTCTTAGAATTCTAATAAGAACACTTTTTTTTCAGCAATTTAACAAAAGCCACCTACCTTACATCATCAGCAACCAATGTTAATATTTCGGTAAGTGGGTCATGCTTGAGAAAATTTACTTTTGAACGTAGCGCTATGCACTGTTTGACGGAGAACACGTGCATGTAGTGCCACGAACTCGTCATACTTGCAGTGATATCGTAGTTTTTCTTTATAAATAACCAAACAAGCGATGTTATTTAGTCGTCCATCTTAATGAATGTTCTGGAATTTGCAAAAACAGGTTACTGTTTTGGGTCTTTTGGCAGCCGAAATCACATAAAGTGTCATGAGAATTTAGGTGAATCACTTTTAATGCATCAACAGAATCTCGGAACTTGTTTAACTGGAAGAAAAATGGCAATTAATCTTAGTTTTCTTGCAAGAACATGGCAAAATAATTTGGCTATTAGGTTAATTACCTGCTGCAACACCTTGGGATAGATTTTTTTAAGAATAAGTAATACGTGTGGCAATCTCTATTGCGGCAACATACGCCATCCGGGCTTGCCCTTTGTCCTCGCTGAATTTTCATGAGACTGCCCATTTTCGTTTTTCTTGCCTGATCTCTGGTTGCACCCATAAATCGTCCTATTGTTCCTCTCTATGTTATTCGGTATTTAGAATCTAATAGGCTTTAGATATTCACACCCTAACGTTGTCTAAATGTGTGGTTGTTACTGAATAACAGCATGAAAATAAGTCTTCTTGGAAAGTACGTGACTCTATGTTAATCCCCTTAGCTCACATACACCTTATCCTAGCGTTTCATAGCAGTAACCTATAAGTAGGATACCACACACACAACCAATATTTAAGTCACTGCTCTAATCCCATCATTTTTTATTCGTGCCATTATCTGAGCTTCTTGTGGTAGAGAGAAAATCATTTGAAGATTATGAGACAGACTTAGTCCACTACGAGGGTAACTTTGCCTGAATAGGTGGATCTAAATAAAAAAAGGCTACATTAAATTCATGTTAGACGTTTTAGTTAAAAATTAGTTGTGAATAAACAAAATGTTCGGAGAAATTTCGTAAAGTATGCTGTCAAATCTTAATTTTTCATTAGCATAAAATTTCGTCAGTAGGCCAATTATGCGACAAAGCTATTTTAAAATGTCAGGTGTGCATCTTGTAACCTATCATTAAATTTTAGACATAAGGAAGTTAAAATACTCCGCCTTTTGTCATTTCACCGAGTGCTTTTATTTTTACGCTACTACCTCTACTGACAGACCAATTAGTGCACATTTTTTTATTAAACAAACTAACCTATTTGGATAAAAACAGACAGCCATTTTGGCCAAAAATAGCCCCATCGATTACCACTTAATATAAATAAGGCCTTGTTCAAGATTCTCCGGGATTTTAGCTGGATGTAAAGTGGAATGTATATTTTAGCTGCTAACAGACAAATCCAGCAGTGGGGTCATCGTTTTCGTGGTGTCACGTCGAAGAATGAAGCACGTGTACATCATTGCGAAGGTTTTGAATTCTGTTCGGTGCATTTAATGGAAATCCCTGTGGGTGAAATCATATCGACGTCAGAAATATGTCTAGAGAACCCTAATAAAACGTTCGCCAACCACTCGGTCCTTAATCCGGTTTTCAAGTTACTAGATTTTATTGATATCATTAAGGAGGTTTGTTAGCAGTAAAATTAAAGATGCAAAAATAAACTGAATATATACAATTTGCTCAGTTAGCAGCCGTAGAATACCCGAGCCTTGGCATGAAGAAGCCTGGTACAACAGAACCGGCTTTATTGACCAACCACAAGCCAGAACCACACGTCAGGCGCCGTCCATCAGAGTCGACCGTGCTGACTGCGCTGCTCATTATATACTGCTTCACACCCATCCCTGTCTCTGGTTGGCCGTAGAACTTCCTAGCAGGCCATTCAAGCGCACAAAGACGAAGGACTGGCTTTGTTCGACGGAGTCCAATAGGTCGGCGCCCTTGTACGTCCCTACACAGCAGCTGGGTGGTAGGGTTCAATTAAATGGTGTTCGTTGCTAAAAATCGTTGATGCTTGAATGATAACCAAGAGCATAAGTGTGGCCCCTGTCTGACACTAAGTCAACATCCAAGTACTGTAACTACCAAGGGCTACTAACTACATGCGTTGAATTTTACCCAGTTGCATTCCATAACCAGAATTGTAAATTCCCATGCGTGTTAGTTTAATGACTTAGGTTTGAATGGTTTGGTTTTATTGCATGATAACACAAATCGACACATAAATGAGGAACTGACACGAGTAAAAATCAAAGTAAAATGTAGCATTCAAGGTGTGGTTTATGACAGATACATTAATTCACCTCTTTTTAATGAACAGGCTATTTGATTTACTTTAACCAATAGCAACGGCCACTATTACCCATACATAAAGCACATATTGACATTGCAAAGCCTATCTTTCTCAAGAAATTTAGAATGATGTCCACTCAAAGTCTGACTAAATGGAAAAGAGGGAGATATTGAAGTCACTGAAACCAGAAAACCAAAACCTGTGACGAAATTTCACATTTAGAGTGTTCTTAGTTTCAAAAACGTCAAAATTAAATTACCTGAGTGGAAAAAACTACTTGCACCCGGAATTTACATTCAGTTAAAAAGTTGGAAGCGCACTAAACAAGTGTTAAAAATAGTTGAACAGCAGAAATTAAATAAAAATAATGGTTAGAAATGGGACTATATAAACACACAGGCCATTACAATGAGGCACAGACAGTAAGTGGGGTCACGCGTTAACAGAATGGATAAAGTTGCTCTTACTGACTAACTTCTCCTATTTGTAAATTATAATTGGAAAGTTTTAACGCAAAAACAGTCTGTTTCAGTCTTGATTTGGTTGACACGGCCAGACCAAGAGAAGAGTAGAGATGCAGAAAACTAGAAGATTGAATAATTTTTGCTCAAGTGATCACGCAGCTGTGCATTTAACAAGTCACCAGTTTACATAGAATCGATTTATATCGATCCTAAAAACAAACGTACTTACATGAAGCGCATTCAAGTAAATCGATCGTGTTTGCTCACTGATCGCTACACGGTTAACGTGCAGATTGAGGCCTATAAGTTAGGTGGATCCTAGTTTTGCTAAGGACAATTAAAATTTGAATGTGAGATGCTATGATCTGGAGGCAATCGCAAATACATAGGACTTAGAGGCTACTTACACCCTTCTAACAGCTTGCACATCTTTTCAATAGCATTCATAAAAACTGAAGAGCGAGGTCTTAAACGCATTAAAGATTTGCCTTAATCTGGAACAAAGTAAACTGATCATGAAAGGTAAACATATTTGATGAGGGTATTTTCATGAGGGTCTTGTTTTGGATTTAAAAGCATTAAAGTGAACAAACCGTAATATGCATTTAATCCGTCAAGATATCCAATGATCTCTTAAAAAATCTAAGAATTCGGCTTTGAAAAGAACGCCGTTTTCTAATTAGCTCTCTTTATTACAGAACCGTAAAAGGATAACGAATTGTACATAATTGCCTTAGGACACAATTAGGAATGCAGCAGTAGAGTGGTAAAGAGAAGTTTTGAAACAGGAAGCTAGGAAGACAAGGAATTGCCATCGCTGTTGTTGTTGTTGTTTTCACTGTGTGGGTGAATCACTTGTTTTAATTGTGGAACTGGCGTGAGCCTGGACGGAGTGGGGTGCAGGGAGACAACAGAAGGGCCGGTTGTCTGCGGCTTCAAATGGCCAACGTCTGTGGAGGAGACGGGAACACAAATGAAGCTCGTTGAAGGGAAGCACTTCTGTCGCCGGACTCCTGCAAAAAAATAATAACGAGTATGCATGAGTGGCATTCAGACCTACGGGAAAATGCAGTCCTTGTTTACTAACGCACTAGCTCTATAAACACTTTCATGATAAAAGTGTGTAACTTAGAACTAAAGCTTGTCCATCTATCTCTTCGGTTCTTCACTGCCAAATTATTCCCTCACGTTAATGAGGTATTTATGACCCACGAATATTAAAAGATTGTTTACACAAGATGTTTAATCCGTTTGTGGATTAATCAAATAAGGCTCATGTATGATCTCAAGTTTATAATTGGTTTATCAATCATAAAAAAGGAAATAAAGTGGCTCGTTAGCTATTGGATTTCAAGCAGCACGGAAAGGCATCTCTGAAATCACGGGAACCAGATGTGTCCACAAAATTTTGCTGTAAATATCTTTTCATGAAATAGTCGAATAAAGAGAGGGCAGGAAAGCTAACATCCAAAAGAAGTTAATTCATTGATCATTTTCTGCATGTCTGAGCGTTCATCGGTATTCTGTGATCATCGCAATGAAACAATTCGTCAGGAGAGCTTACACGTTTGATTGTTTTAGGGATTCTTATTATAACTCGATAGACATTTGCGGTTTGTGCCTACTAAATATTCTGATTTCAGTGAATGCTGCAAACAACTACTCATAATGGTTGCTTCGATTTGGCAGGCATGTGTTTGGTCAAAAGAACGAGTCTCTAGCGGTTTGCATGTAATAAGAGAGGTTTCGTCGCCTTACCTATGCAATAATTTTGGATTTCGTTTGTGCCCATAAACTTGTTAATGAGTTATTTCATTTGTAAAACAGTTTCGAATACACGTGGCTTTTCGAGAGCCGAAAAATTACTCCCTCGACCTACAAGACGTACAACGCAGAACGGTGTACTAGATTTCAAATACGGCAGAATTGAATGGTACCATTCTTCAAACTTTGATTGTCGTTTTCGTGGTGAACGATAGCCTTATCTTTTTTAAATGTTAGAGCTTGGCTTTTAAACAAATGACTGTTATGTACGTGGTCAGCAGCAGAAAGTCGGTTTCGTTTTAGTGGCAAAATAATAGACCTTAGTTATTGAGAATCTAACGAAGCAGTAGTTCTTCGAAATTAGAGCAAGTAAAGAAATATATTTTATCCTTTGGTCAGCACATTAAAAACTAAATCCATTGAATGCTGATGGGTAACTCGATTAGTGTGGAGACTCACTTTTTGATAAAATAAATAATCTACCATGAACAAAGCAATTGCTGAAGTAAAATAAAAAATAACACATTTCCAGATTGCCTGGAAGATAAAGTTTAGGCACATACCAAAAATGTTTACTAAGGCGTTAACCTATATTGATACTGCCAATCCTTCTTTGTTCCACAAAGTGCGGAAACTGTTTTTTTTTGTACTCTGGAACTTACGAGAAGACCTTCCACTCTTGAATGTGGAATAATATGCTTCCGATCTGCTTTTTTAACGCCAGGTTTGTTCACTGATGCCCACTCCTATGACTGAATTTCTGTGATAGAATTGCACTGGCTAATCCCCGAACCAGTTATAATAAAAGGTCAAAAAGGAAATATTCCAAAGGTCTTTAAATGAACTCCTAGAAATCCCTCTACATCATATATAATGGAAGCGATGGAGTGTACATGCTTAAAATTATATCCTGGATTGTACCATACATCGGACAAAAAATCTTGACATTCATTCCGATTCCAAAAAGACAACTAAATTCTTGGATAAACCCCAGATGAAAGCATGTCAATCGAACTTCAGTACTTCAAAGCTCGAAACTTGTTTGGCGTCATATTTGTTTGCACATCTTCAAATACGAAAGATGTCAATAATTGTTGGGCCCTTTTTTGTTGGCATGACCGTTGATGCAGAAAATCACTGTTGCCTTAAAATACCATGCACAAAGCAAAAAAACTTAGGCTAATTTGCGTACAGTTTTTTTTAACTTAATTAATAAATTGGTAAATCAGTTTGTTTAGTCCTGAAGTTGTGTCTCTGATATAACAAATTCATAATCCATATGGTGGCTTAAGGAATGCAGGGATTTATAGCACACAAATTTATTGTAAACGATCTCCTAAAGCCTGTTCAGCGACCAACTTATGTGCAACTTTTTAGCTTTTTGATGCACTTTCAAAATTGACACAAACTTTATTAAACACCGAGGCACCATGGGATAACCCCTAGGTTCCGTGTTTAATCACCGAAGTTAGAGTAAACCAGTGAATGCGACGCAATAATCAGTTTAAATTGTCAGTAAAAAACAAACTATCAAAAATTCTAACTAGTGTTTACCTTGACATCAGTCGGTTAGAAAAATCGTGTGACGTTTTAAGCAGGCAGCCTTCTATTGTCGAGAATCAGTAAATTTCTCTGAGTCACATTTCAGTAATAAATTGGTTCAGAGACAAGCAGTCGGGCCGCAATTACATTTTGGCGTGCACATTAAAAACGCAAAACTCTGTGCATTTCTTAGGTTTCCAGTAACTCTCTGTAACAGCTCACACTTCGATAAATAATATCACAATTTATAGAATTTACGCGCACCACCTAATAATAGTTTTGCTCTTTGTGGAATCCCTAATTTTACCGGGCCATTAGTCAGTAGCCTTTAGACGTGTCCAGAATAAACAAACGGAGAGAGGAATGATGTTTGTTAATAGAAATTGCACAAGACTTTAGCGGACACATTTTTAGTCTGCATGACTGTTGTTACCTCTTTTAAGTAGCTTGCTCCGAGTTTGGTTTAATGATCAAGAGTTTTCCATGAAAACCGGCAACAAAATGAGGGGTTAAAATATGTGTTAATTGTGTGCATAGGCTTATTAAGTCCAAAATTCACTTAAATGTCAATTTGGGACAACCGTTAAGGATGAAAATATGGGACTACAAATGTAGTTAAGAGAGTGACGACCGTAAGGGCTTAGAAAAAGCATAATGGTTGAAATTTATAAGACTTAGAAACTGACATTAAAACTTAAAAATGCAACCATAGATAGCATGTGTAATTATTTACCGAACATATTTCCAATACACAAAAATTAAATGCATTCCAATATTTCGCACATAGGACAAATCTATACACTGCCATAGCACCATTTTGTTTACATATGTGTGGTTTATGAACTGATACAACTCTTTCTACTTAAAAAAAATCAGAAAATTTCAAGCTCATGTCATGAATCCTAATTAGGTTAACTCTGAACAAAGTTCAGGATTTTGAATGTTCTAGTGTACATTATTTTCAAATTTCGTCTTGGATTGTCAACGAGGTGCGACTACTTCTATTTTTGTTGCTATCAGTTAAAACTAAAGTCTTAAAACAGGAAGTCGAGATCCACACGTTTTTTTGAATTGTGTTTAAAAAAATTAAAAGTTGCATTCATAGGCAAAAACAATCTTTTTTCCCACTTGGTAGCAATAGATATTTTTGTAAGGAAATTGCCTGGTATCTATCATTTTAATAAACGCAATTTGAAAGATGCGCTGTGAACCTTATGTTATTAAAAGATTATACAAGAAAACAGAAGTCAACATGCTCACTGAAAATGCTGGTTTCGCTGAGGGGAAACAGCATCCAGAAAATCAATATAGTGAGGGATTTAGACCTTGAATTAGTTGAAAATTTTGATAACCTTGAGCCTGATTTCAGCCACTTTCTTTCACTAAAGGAATATTGATTGAAAAAAGACGAAAAAGACACGAAAAAGACAATATGAGGATGAAAGGATGCAACTGCGAGGAAAGAAAATAAATACACTGTTTTTGAAATAAAATGATATCGCTGATTTACTGTAAATTAACAAATTGTTTACAGTATTTTATGTTGATTTATGTTTTAAAAGCCACAATGATCTTTGTAAAATTTACATCAAGCTTGTAAAAAGAAAAAAAAGTAATTTGTAATGCAGCGACTCACTCGTCAGACTATTAATAGCGGAAATGATTAAATTCGGGCTCTTAGCAGTGTCTCAGGATTTGAAATTAAATGAGCAACATCAAAACCTTGAAGAAACTTAGAAAGAATTGTGCAAATATGATAATAATTAGCAGTGCCTTAGATTCACTAAACAATTACATAAAATAGAATGATTTTTCCATTAAAAAAGTTACAACATGTTCTCTAAATTAAAACATAGCAGTGAATTTTGCTGAAAGCCAAAAGGTTCGTTTGCAATAGTTTATCTTTGTACGAATGTTGTATGTTGAGTTAAACCTGGGACAATAGATGCTGTGTTTCTCTGTATAAATATCGAAGGTGACTTGAGTAGTGACATTTTCAGGAAGCCCTCTTTGTAATACTAAATGTGATTTTAAAAACTGTTTTGAGAGCAATGCTGGTTTGCTTACGGTCAATCTTATTCATATTAACAGGCTTTACCTACCAACTTTCAACGTTAGTAATATATTTTGTCCCTGGGGCCGAAAAAATTGTTAAGGTGGGATTATGGATTCCCGTAATCTGGTCATTCCGTTTCCTCTTTTTAACTATGGACCTCTTTTGTTAAGAAAAACCTAATGGGGAAGTCCGATTTTAATGCATCTACCACACCACAGTAACAGCTTTCATTAGGCTAAAAAAGACGCATTTTTTTGCTTATTCTGGTCTGAAGCCTTGGCAGGAAGTCTCTTGAAATTTTACTGCGTGTCATATCCGCTTACCAAAACCTGCTGCAAATAACACATCGTATGTGTCGATTGCAATCAGCGCCACACAAATATCTAAGTAATCATCATAATTACTGAGTCATCGAGGTGGAATTTCACTAATTGCAAAGCTGGATTGTCCTGCGTAGGTCATCTCGTGATGACCCAAAAACCATGAACACTCTCTTTAGTTGAAAGTTCGCTGGCCTCAATCATCAAGTGACGGACTAGAAAACCGCTGTCCTTATTGCGCCATACCCGCACGTAGACCCACAGAACCCTTTTTAAATTGACACATAATGCCATAAAGGAGAAAAGCTTAGTTTGAAGACAAGTGATTTAGTGATTTGAACCTCATTTTTCCTGGAAGATTTTTCTGAGAACTGCAGCATGCATCAAATATGCAACCCTCAAATATCGAAATATTTTGAAAATCGGACTACCATGTGGCATTATTGAAATTTCAAGGCACTCACCGTCATGACTGAAGATGTCATCATCGCTTTGACCCTTGCCCGAATCCGCACTCGACTTGTCCGTTTCTGGCATAACACAAGCCATCAAGATTTCCTAGAGTATAAAATGTTTATTTAAATTTAGTTATTTAGCAAATTTGACTAATTTTGTGTCTTGCCAATCCGTTATACCCTGCAATGACAGAAGTAAAGAACGACTATGGATAAATTTTAATAAATAAACGTCATCGTAAGTTGCTAAGACAAATGCTGGAAAAATTTGGAGTGGTTGACCAAATTGGAATGCTACAAACACTTAACAATCAAACTTGTGCTTTTTAGGAACCGCAGGTCTTTATATTAGACAAATAATTTCATATTTCAGGCTATGCATATTGCTCAAATTAGGTTTCGCTTATGATTTAACCTTTGGGCAAACAAACGAATATGAAAGCAATTAGTTTAACTAAGTTTTTACTTTTTTGTATCTTTTCTTTTGCAAGAAAAACTATTGAATTGCATGTTAAAGTAGATGTAAAGAAGTGTTTTCCTTTGTAAATATTGTAATAACCTTAGATCTGTATTGGGTTGGAGGCCTTAATTTTCAGCTGCCCATCGCTGATGACCAATTACGAATTAATTGAAAATCTACTGCTTACATACCACACCTGAGACGATCCACGCACGAGTACGCACACGCTAAACAGATGTTTCGAGACGAAGTGACAGATGTGGAGTGCATTTCTGGTTTTTCGAAATTTAACTTTCTTGCAAATATTTTTGCTTGTGTTCTCATGATAATTGATTGCACGCAGGCTAAAGCCTTTGTCCTGGGTGTCAACCCAACCGCCTTGGCTGACATAAAATGTCTGCTTTTTAATTATTCATACACTAATTAAAAGCGGACGCACCTGAACAATCATTTGCGAGGATAGAGGAAGGTCACTGTAACTATTTTAAACCATAGGTAATGTCATTTCATGACTACTTACTTATTAAAATCAATTTTTTATAAGATAGTGGCAATACATAACTTTGTCCTTGCTAAATGTATTCAAGTAAATGTTACGCAACTGTTAAATCCTTTCAAATTGACATCAATATGTTTCATAAGCAGAAGATCAGATTTTTTCATGGTTACTCTGATTACGCCTTACGAACTTTAGTCAATACTTTGCACTAATTTAACCACTGGAATTTACTTCATTCAAAGACTAGAACAGGCGAGAAATGCGTCATCACTAAAATCATCTTCGAAGTACTAGATCAATATTAAATTAAGTCTTGGGCATCCATAGTTTCCAATTTTATTAAAGCAATCTTCGATAACAGATTGGCGAGGCTAATCACTACATTAATACTCAAAACGCATTTGCAAATTACTTTTATTTATAAATTCAGCATGCAAACATTGGTTTTAGGTAGGGGTGTGAGCCAAAGCTGACAAAATGAGTTTTATTTATAAAATCAAAGTTACGTGGAAGAAAATAATATTCATTTAAGTGTCATTGCTTGTAGTGTACACGATAAGCTGGTACCTAACCTTATATCTCAAAGATGAATTGACCATCCTCAAGATGAAATACATGGATAGCTAGCAAAAAAATTCAAGAAATTTCTCTGACTTTACAGATAACATTAATAAAGGTCATCGCATTTTTTCCTTATCAACCATTTATTACAAGAGTCCTGAGTTGACTGCTAAACTTGTTTAAAAGTACATTTACAAGTAGATTTCAATCTCTTTTAAATTTCAATTAAAAAAAAAAGGTTCTGGCATTACTTATCTAACTCTGACAGCTCGATTTCATGTTTTCATGGGGAAAGTTAATCTTATTTTTTCATCAGTAGTAAGATTACAACTCTAGTCTGTGTGTTACAGGACGGAGATTATACGTTTTTTTACCTTAGGGTTTGCCAGGGACCTCATCTGATTAATATTTAAATTTAAATTGATGTTCGGAAAATTGTACGGCTAATTTTAAATAAATTGCAAAAGTCTAAATACCGTTTCAGGAACTTGCTGGTAGGCTACTGATGACTTGACAATTGCACCTGGAATTGTATCGTTCTTTGATATTGGCACAAGTATGGTCCCTTCCAGTTCTGGAATGCTAGTTATTCGAATTACTGCATTTCCTTGTGACGTTGACGTTGTCGGCCCATCAGCAAGGGGTTTCAGGTAGATTGGATAGATTAATTTACCATCCATTTGGGTTTCACCGCTGTGGATGGAAACAGCATCGTCAATATGGTTGCCAGCCGATGAATGAATAAACTCATTTTCACTGCCCATCTGAAGAGAATGCTGGGAAAAGGCCTTGCGCACCTCCGCCTCATAGCACATTTGCGTCATTTGTGGAGTTGGGGGCTTTGAGGGTGGCAAATATTTTGTTCCTTTGGATAATTTTGTTTCCCTCGTTTGCTTGAAGGAGCCCCCCTTTCCATTTCCGATGTCCAACAGTTCAAGTTCATTAGAATGCACTTGCCCTTTGCTTCCCCCACGCAGTCTTCCTCTTCGACGTGACCGAATAACAAAGAGCAAGGCAGTGATCAGACAACAGCAGAAAACAATTGCTGCCAGAGGTACAGCGATCATTAATACAAAGACCTGTATTCTCTTTGCGCCTGCTGCATCTGTGTCCTTCTCCTTGCTAACTGCAGTTGCGAGGTTAGACTGGCTAGATCTCTCCCGCGAGTGCGAGTCAAAATAAACGGGTTTATTTGCAAACGCCTCATCCGCTTGTGTTAGAAACGTTGATTCTGGGGGAATATTTAGAATCTCAGCGCCCGCTTTAAATTCTAAAAAAAATTCGGCATCCTTTGATTGGGGTGGTGTGCCCTCATCGGTGGCCCTTAGAAGCAGACGAACTGAATCGCCCGCCTTAACGCAAGACTTTATTCCTTCTCTCGTACGAAGATGGCCAGATGCACCTTCCACGTTAAATAAACCACGGAGATCACATGTCGATTCTTGGTTAAAATGCACAAATGACGCGTCTTCTAGTGAGTAGATCACTCGGGCATTTTGTCCACTGTCTGGGTCGACAGCACGAACGCGTGTAATGATCCTGCTTGTTGGAAAGTCAATGCCGATTTGGATGCGAGAGTCGTCCGGTGCCCGGGGATATAGCCAGACAGGCGAGTTGTCGTTTTCGTCCAGCAGCTCAATAGTTATAGTGGCCCTTTTAAGGAGAAGAACGGAGCTCTTTAGTAACTTAAAACAGATCTTCTGTGTACCTATTAGTTGACAGGGGCGTAATTTTCGTAGAATCGACACAACAGGCATATATTTGTTCTTTGAAACAGTACAAACTTTTATTTCCATCACTTCATAAAATTCATAGTACTTTTCATTGACTAAGGCAGTTTACCAGTAGTAGGGAGATGATAGTATATTTAAATTACCCGGACCACTACATTTGATGGCAGGTACCATTTGGAGTTTACAGACATACATCTTTACTCCGACCTACAAAGAATAAAAATTATTGGCTACGTAGTTTTTGAGTGCACAGAGGCATACCAAATTGTTTCATAAAAACTTCTGGAAATGTATTAGTCCGTGTATTTGTTTAAATTTCTTGTTATTCAGCAACTGCTCACTCCGGAAAAGCTTTACAGCTTCATCCACGTAACCCCATTTTGGATAAGCTGACATTGCTGTTTGCATTTTGAAATCAAAATTTAGAAATTTACTCCTGCCTGTTCTAAAGAGATTTTGGGTTTTACACGTAGCAAGCACATGGTTTTTGTACAAATTTATTACGTAAATCGCAATGAAATTACTTTTAAATGGTTTTAATTAAAAAAAGGTCATGGCTGCCACACTTTATAACGAATCTCTGCATTCCAATATAATTTAAGCCAAGTTTGTTGAAAATAAAAGGAACGAAATGCATTGGGTTGTTTGTGCCAATCTTGAATAGATGGGACACCCACAAAATGCGATGTTTAGTCATCTGTGAGTTTAGCCAAGATGGGTATAGGCTCTACCAATTACTTTAGTAGACCTCTGTCGCAAGTCATATTTACACCCGGTAGAAGTAACAACTACACTTCATGAGTTATACTGTCTTTTATACTGACTTCAAATTTGCTAAAAGTTATGGCTGTTGCACTTTAATAAGACACTGTGATGGTGTCCTACATTTTTTTAAAGGGATCCTTAGCCTCTAACCACTTAGCAGAACACTCGGTCAAATTAATTCTGAACACAGTGAGTGCCTTAGTGGAGTGGGCATGCTATTTCAGAAAGCTACCAATTAGCAACTCTGAAAATGAGCTAATCATTTTGACGCAAAAATATTTCGGTGGCAGTTGCCACCAGTAATTACCGTCACTTTGGAAAAAATATCCACCAAGGAGATAGCAAAACTTCGAAACTTTAAATTTATATGCGGCACTGCTTGTCTTATGTTTCTCTGGTTAATATGCCCACCTGGGTTGGCCGTTGAAAAAAGTAGAACCTCAGCATGCAGTACTCAACGCATGATTCTATTGGGCCTCATTTAAACGCAAAATTTTAGTTTCTTCGCAATTTTTGTTCCAAATGTAAGTTAACAGAAGATCTACGTCAACAAGTGACCCTTTCTTTGAAATTAAAAAAATGCTTCGAAAATTTAGAAATTGGGAAAAATGCACATTACATTCACAAAAATCAAGGCGTATGAGTAAGCGGAATGGAATCTTAAACCATACGACTAGTACAGAACTAGCTAGAGCCATTTTACAAACGTGAGTTGCTATTTTCTCTAAAACTCGACCACATCAATATCAAAATTTTGCTTGTGAACAATCGAATCGAGGGTAATGGCTGTAAATGCCTTAGATTTTGAGGGTGCAACAGAACCGAAAAATTCGATGAGTTCTTATCGAAAAAACGGAGTCTAAAGAAACGGGTTGGTTTTTTTAATACGCCATCGAGTAATTCCTGTCATCTTTCCGGTAATCCGCAAGAATCGTCTTCTTTAATTAGCAGCTATTTAACTTTGTTTAATTTATACTAAAATACTTCGCAACTGAAGGTCTAATGCACCAATATGCAGAATCGCCGGCCATGGTTTGTTCCTTCATAGGCACACTTATTTCCCTCTCACCTCTGGATGTTCGATTTTAATCATCTTGTGTTTATAGTTAAAATAGCGCGATTCTAAAAGCTACATATAACATTTTGTAAGCAGATTATTTAAAAATGTAACATAAAGCGTTATTCCCTTATCACGGCTTTTGATCCCGGGCTAAGTTTACATACTCGCACGCAACTGTCACTCTGATAAATGTGCCCAGGCTAAAAATGCAAATTTTGGATGCGATAGTAAACAGATAGTAAAATTTCGCGATGTACCCTTTCGAAGATTTGAATGATGCAATGCACGAAAAATGGATTGAGGTAATTATAGGGTGTACGTCTCACCAATTACCACTTCTGACAACGTCAACTAATCCCTTGCAATATAGAATGCCGAAGATTCGGACAGAGTGCTGTCAATGTGAATCCGAAAATACTAATTTCGGTTTGATTCTAGCAATTTTAGTGAAACAGGAAATACAATTTTTGAAAGAGGTTATTTATATAAATTTTACTGTATGGGCAAGCCACAATTTGAAAATTAAACCAAAAATGGAAAATTCCATTCATCAGACAGAAAATATGCGCGGTAATATATGGTCCTAAACACTCACTACGAGATTTCATAAAAAAAAACTCAACCAAGAAGAGGCATACGAATACCAATTAATAAAATAAAACGGCTTTAATAACAAAACAAACGCCTAAAGGCACAGAGACTCTATTCTTGCTACATATCGCAGTAACCTAGCAATTTTTCAATAAAATTTGGTCTAAATAAATGTTCAATTACAAATGAATTGTTATTATTTTCACTGGAAATGCCAGTTAAGAAATAAAATGTAATTAAAAAAGTTTAGGTGGTGTATTTGCAAACTGATTTGCTATAACGTAAAACGGCGGCTTGAAAGCTAGAAAATTGCTTAGAAACGTCTAAATGCCTTCTCATATCACTTGTGATCAGCGAATGGAGCTTAATGTCACAGACTTGTAGTCATATCCATTACCAATATCCGATACAAGTAAGGAAGTATTGAACAGACGAAAGCTGACGTTGCTTAAACAGGGAACCGTGGATATTATTAATGCTAGACCACACATTGGTACGGGAATTGAAAGTTATTGAAAAACCCTGGCTTCTCTATGACGAGAACCCGAATTTTGATTATAGATTTCAGACTTTAGTGCTCTGGCAGATAAGTTATCCAGACCTAAGCATGTGGGAAAAACTTGCTTAGTTCTTTGGTGTCGCGCAATTCGTGCACAAAAAATACTAAGCAGCACTGTGCTTTCAAAATTTTGAACCACGGCTTGGACTATAATGTTTAAATTGAAAGGTCTGTAGCTTATTTTGTGAGCAGCCCTGACTGCACACAATTTAGAAATTAAAAACATAAAGCATACAATTAAATGCAAGTTTATGTATGTATTTATCTAAGGGTATTCAAAGGACAGATGAAGGCTTCATTTTTGCTCGGCTCGCAAATTTCACCAAAAATCACCAAAACTTACGTTGAGGTCAGACCGTCTGTTGTTTCGCTATCCATGGCAACTAAAGTGCACACATAAGCTGATTCTGTCTCCCGGTCTAAGTTTTCTAAAGTCCAACACTTTCCAGTTTTCTTGTCCACTTCAAAGATCGACTTTGGCAACTGTTTTTTACCGGAAGGTTGACTAGGCTGGCGAGGAAGACAACCCCGGAGCTGAATTGTTGAGTTATCAGTGCCATCGGGATCCAGAGTGCGAAGCTGCATAAAGACGGTGCCCTTGTGAAGATTTTCGGGTATCTGAACTACAATTCCTTTCTTTTCCGTCGCGAGTGTCCCAACTATCATCCGAGGAGTTAGGATTCGCGGGGGGTTGTCGTTGATGTTCTGGACGTTGACGATGACCTGACACGTGCTTGTAAGTGTGACATTGTCGGCGCCAGTATTTATTGCCTTGACCTTGGATGGTTGGAATGTGGTCAGTTAAATTAATAGACCAAGGGCACGCGTTTTTCACCTCAAACCAGTTTACCCTAAATCGGCAGCTGTTTGCAGATCTCAATTAAATTACAGATCCTAATGAAATTGCACATTGGACACGGTCTTAAGAAAACGGGCTTTTGTCAGGTAATTTTTTGTTCTATGAGCCTGACTTCTGTTCCATTACTGCATCCATGAAGTAAGAAATCTCAAAAATGAGGTTATCAGAAAAAATATGCCCCATGGGAGTGAGTATGATATTAGTTTTAGCGGTTCTTGATGTCAGCCATTTGTAGACCTTCAAAATGGTCAACACAATTTTACTGGAGTCAATTTTTTTATAGGCTTAAACAAAACATTTATTTACACTCATTGCGTACGAAGTTATGCCATCAGCGGACTCTAATGTGTTCCGAAGGTCGATTATTATTGATATTTGAGCAGAAGGGTTATTTGGTATTTTTGAAGTGTCAGAATAAATATTTATGTGTAATTTTATCGTTGCCAAACAGATTTACAGGTTTAAACTTAAGCTTGCAAAATATACTGAAAATTCAAATGGCTTTAGGGCTTTACTTAATTGTGTTTAATAATTTGCCAAAAACATTGGCAGACTTTGGTGATCTACGTGAAATATATGAGGGCTCACGGGATGAAATTTTAAAAAAATGTAATTTTAGACATGCCTTTAGTTGTGAAGCATGAAGAAAAGTAAAATGCCTTTTCTGTATACGAAAGCAGAATGTAATAAAAGTCTATATCAATGACATTAAAAACGTCGACAAAAGCAACAGAGCCAATAGGAATACAAAGACGCACACAATTATTTCTCAAAATTGCATTCTGAACTTATGTTTTATTCATTTCCGCTACTTTTCTCTTTCGACTATGTCAAAGTTTTCAAACTTATGGGCTTAAGCCTTCAGCTGGTTACTTTCAAACCGCTTTCTACAACTTACAAATAAACAGAGGTCTGCAAGGTACACTAATAGTTCAGAAACGTAGCAGTAGAGAAACATAACAGAACCACACTTAAAACTTCGAGATGTTGTTCATTGTTTATTGTGGGATACCAAGCACCCCATTCTCTCGGTTGTATGTCAAAGAGCATACAAATTGAACCAAACGTTTTGCAGGAAACGCTATATAATGAATTGCAGTGATTTACTCTCTGGAAACATATTTGCTGCGTAAATATGGTCTGCACGTTTAATTTAAAACTTGTGTTTTACTTTAAAACACCCAAGCAGAGTAATTACAACTTGTTCACATGAAATAAGAACCAAAGACTTAATAGTGCGATTAATAAAATCCTTATTCCATGGAATTCTTTTGGTGTTCTACCGCAATCGACTAGTTTCTAGATAAAAAAACTAGTAAGTTTATTATTCGAATTTATTATCTGTTTGAGCTAGTTCAGTTTACGTTTGCATTGTCTTATCTTGTAACCGCGTACGTCTAAAATTTAATTTATTATTAATTATTTGATTAGTCCTCATAAATAGGGCATACCAAAGAACTTTTATTTACCTCTTTGCAGTGGGCACTCGTTGCGCCAGGCAAATTATGGTTTGATTATAAATATTTCAACACAAATTGTGAATTTCGTAAATTCTAATTTAATTTTTTATTACTTCATCATTAGAGATGTCAAGTCAGTTTTTAAATTAATCATTTTTTAGAAATCCGCACTTTTACTTCTTCTAAGCCATGAACTATTGTACAGTTTGTGGTCTAAAAATCACTGTTGTCAAAATAAGTTTATAAATTTCCCCTTCTAGAAAACTTTTATTATGCAACTGCGAAGGACAGACCTGTATAATTTCCCACTCTAACGCAGTCTAAGCTTGTATTCCCAGGTCAAGCCTTAGAGGCTTATGGCCAATGCGCAAAAGTCTTCATTCTAATCAGCTTCACCGACAAAATATAACTTAGCTATGAAGAAAGATTTAAAAAACTCCACTATATTTATTGTCACTTTTTCTGACTGGACTAGTTCTTCAGAAACACCTTTACTGAACTATCACAATTTAAAATTAAAGTTGATTGTTAGATTGACAATATACGTTTACTGTGCTTACGTAGTGTACCAAAGATAGCATCGCTTCATATTATGCTGTTACCATGCCACATTTAAGGGGAATCGTAAAAATAATGGCGCAGGTTTTGGTGACAGGCTTAACTTCAGGCAATAATCTATCTTCAAGCCCGATTTTTTCTTGAAAATGTTTTAAGATGCGTGCTTTTTTATTATATAACTTAGGCTCTCTTAAAGGTTTTGATCGATATAATGTGTTTGCATATATGTTCAGTCCCAACCAACAATGTTAGCTACATAAGTATTTTTTCGTCTAATTAAACGTTGAAGGGTTTTTCCAGAGTGAAACAACTTGGATTAAATTATTCTGCTTACTATTTCTACAAAGCTTATCTTGTACGAATAGTTCAATTCCTTAAAAAGAAGGACATTTTGTTAAAAGCAAAATGTAAGTAAATGATTTCGTTGCGACACGCCTATCGTGCCTGGAAAGCGAAAAGTTCTGTGTATTTGAAACAAAGGTAGTTAGTTTGTTGAAAACTTCATTTGTGTGTTTTTACTTTTTTTTTCTAATTTACAGAGTAAAAGTGACCAGGCGATGCAAAATGATCACTGAAATTTGATTATTAGTTTTCCATATCATTTGTGGAACCTTACATTCGAATGTAATAATACTTTTACTACCTTTACTTCCAGCCAAAGAATATGAGGGGGAATAATGGCAATGTGCGCAGTTGAGTTAATCGTAACCCTAGTACAGTAACTAAGACACTTGAGCAGGTGAAGTCGACTAGTTTAGCTTTAACGTCCACTTAAAGTGAGCCCAGACAGTTTTCATGATTTTAGTCTTAAGAAAATACACGTCATTTGATCAGTTTGTCACTTTGTTTTGCTCACATGTTAAAATCCCTTTAATTATTCCATTTTAACACATTTTTGTAACGAAATGCTTTGCAATGTGGATGAAATGTAAACTTATAAACTTTTGAGACCAAAGCTACAGAAGCTTACAAGTTAGACAGAGAAACATGAAGAGCGCAAAAGCTATTAGTTAAATACTTATCGGTGTGCGACGTTTCGGTTTGGATCAGCCTTAGGATTTGTCATAGTTACTTTTATTTCTACTATAGAAATCTCTAAGATCAAATACAAATCCGGACACGAAGTTGGTCTGGGATAGAAAGAGAAAGAGACAAAGATTAACGCAAAAACCAAATATTACTATGATAATGCAAACATTAACTGACTAGATCAAAATTTCATTACCTGAACGTTAGCAAGCAAAAAGAAACTGAACGATATCAGTTTGGTGGTTATCACGACAAAAACAGCTTTTTGCCAGTAACATGGAGTGACAATTTTTTTATTTACCACTGGTTTTAATTTTTTTACCTTTATAAAACCATCTTGTTATTCAGAATACTTGCTAAAGCATGAATCTGCAATATATTGCAAGATAGTTTAGCATTTCCATTGTCTCTTGAGGCAGATGCATATAAGGAAAAGCAAAACCAGTCAGTGACAAAGGCGATTAGGTATCTATTCAATAGCCACACGTTTTTAATTAGACCATGTGTTCTGCTTAAAGCAATCTTTAATCTATTTAATGTATGAGTAAAAAATACCCCATCGCCTTTGGTTTTACGACGCCAATGAATGTGTGCTTTTGCGGAATCTTTAAGTTTCGTGGAAAAAAATTAAGTTTCAATAATTTGTAATTTTACCAAATATGACTGGAACTATCGGGATAAAAGTTTTGTGTTCAAGTCTACAAATAAAACAGTTCAAGTCTTGCTTCATATAAACAAACCAATTTTTTGTACTTTAATTTAACTGTTCACAAGTTTCATAAATTGATCCCAATCTAAGGATTTATTTTTAGCTGCTGTACAGAGGTCGGATTCGAAAGGCCCCACGTTTGGATATGTTCCACTCCAACAATTTGGCACGTGGTACTTTGTTAGGGTTTTCCAGTGATGCCTAACCATGGTGAGTACATCATCTATTTTTGGAACTAAAATGTTCAAATCATGTCAATTTATTTTGATTTTGTTTAAAAAGTTCCATTATTTAGCAGAATTACTCTAACATGCAGCTTCAAGTGGTCGAAACTTAGCCACACTCGTGCTTGTCAGGGCTATCCAAGCTTAAACATTTTGCTGTTCGTTGAACCGTGAGATGTCAGCGAGGTTACATTCAAGCATCACAATTTAAACGATGATTCTGAAGCACTTGGCTTTTAATGATCTCTGGCACTGCGCAATTTTTAGTGGGGTCTATCGTTAAAAAGATTCTAGCATGTCAGTTACAGAAATTCATTCAAAGCGCTCTAATTTTTAGGCGTTCTTATCCCTATTTGGTGAGTCTTATTGTAAAAGCTTAATAGACGAGGGAAGACATTTTCCAAAAAATTCATGATTTTGACTCATCCTTTTGAGCTATAATCAAAATAATCAGTTACCTTCTTCTGAAGCAGTAGTTAGCGTACACCAATTTTTTTTCCGAAATTCATGAATGGTCATAGGTTTGGTCGCTGTCTAGGCGCAGCACAACAGAGTTTCTGTAGTAGCACCCAAAGTAGTACTACGATGTAAGGTATCTTTGATTCTCTTCGATAACACAGCAAACCAAGATTTCTATCGCGAATTACTAGTGCTTCTTGGCCATGTAAATTTTTTCCCATGGTTTCATTGTCGACAAATTAATAAAGACTGTACTTCCATCTGCGCCTAATCTATCAATTTTCTCTACATCAGTGTGTAAGATTCGCAAGTACTCAATACAATTTCCTTATAATTGGCAAATTTTTAACTAGCTCTGACAATCTGGATGTCTTTGACATTGCCGCTAACATTTGTGGGCAAATTCTGACAGGTGGATCCCCTGAGTAATCCGTTACTGATAATTCGGTTTTGTGCTGCCCTTGAAGATCTGAAAATCTTTTGCTTGCATTACTTTATATCTTAAATTTGACCAAAAAAATTTTTTCCAGCAACGCATGATTTGATAAATTCCATGTTAAATAACACCCTAGTGAAAGGTTAAATTGGTAGTCACACTTGTCCACAGGATAAAATCTCTAGACCATAAAACCTGGCTACGCTTAATAGCAATGTCACTTTCTTGTTGTGAAGAAATACTAAATCCAATTACTAACTAATTTCTAAAAAAATTATGTACTCGTATTAAGGCTTTAGCCTATACCTAATGTGTCACGTTGCAGAAGTGTAACGAATTTCGCACCAGCCTGATTCGGGACTAATTGCAGGTAATGCCACCACGTAGTCTGATGTGGTTGGGTTAATTTGGATGGCACTTGGTGTCTAAAAAGCCTTCTGATCGTGAATGAAAATCGGTAGCAGGCAGAAAATGAAATATTGGTTGCTGCTTTTCTAATACTGATGCCACAATAAAAAGTTCGCAAGAAAACTGAACCCTTGATTTGCCAAGTAGAAATAAGCATCCTTGAATGTGCAATTAGGGATGATTTCTGGGCATCTAAACTTTTTTAATTGTTGATGATACACGTCAATAACATTTATCAGTTTAAGGATAAAGTGGTACCTGGGTCTCTTAAACCATGTTTACTTTAAAGTGTTACTAAGCTGAAGTTATAGAGATTTTTCCGACCTCTCTCGAATTTTTCACAGTGTACAAAGGTACTCCTGCATCGCCCATGTTAGTTAAGAGTACATTGATTGACATTACACTCAATATTAGTGCATCCCTGCTGTGACCTCGTATAAAGTCCCATTTGCTTGTCAGGATAATTGGTTTATCGAATTACCAGCTGATGGGGCCACAAGATAGCGAAACATTTTGGTATTAAACGGTTTAATTACTTTAGTCAATTTAGAGATAACCACAACAACGATTGGAGCACTTTAAAATATATATAGCAAGTCAATAAAATCCACAAAAACTAGGTCAAAATGAATGAGAAATTTTTTTGAATGGCAATTTAAGCAGAAGGGCATAAATGCAAACGATTTAAATTATTTGTATTTCCTAATTAAAAAGCAATTTTTAAAAATTTAAGCAATTGAAATTATCGCAATTTTTGAAATATTTATTTGACAATAAAATGCCATAATTCGGTATAAATTTTATTTGGTGAAACCTTATTCTTTTATTGATTTATTTTCAAATCATCTAATACAAATTAGTCTGTTGTTCTAAAACGTTATAGGTTAAGTTTTGTTGTCGCGCTTATGTGGGAACGTAAAACTTCACAGCGGAAGACTCAGTAATACACGAATTAATCATCAAGTAACATCAATTACCTTGGAATACATTCCTGTAACGAAGTCTGAATTTTATACATTATACTTGTATTTATACTTGATATACCTACACAATGGTCGAAAATAGACTGACCAAATAAAATCCATGGAAACGCCAATCATTCATTTTGATATTACCCAAAACCTACTAATTCAAACCACAGACTCTTGATTTTTTATGTTTTTGTAAGGTAAAATTTAAATGTTATAAGTCTTAAAATGAGAGTTGCAGTGAAGTGTCATCCAGCCAGTGGTCCTAGGGGCGAAAGTTTCTTTTAATAAAGGTAGTCGCACCATCACACATTAAAAGGTTTAAGTAAAAAACCACATAAATCTGCACGAATACTAGTTGAGTTAATGTAAAGTGTAAATATGGGTGGGCGACTGCCTGCTTATAAGACCACACGAAAGGACAATCTGCTTGAAAAAAGGCCGTCTTCTAGGTGGCCCACGATGGAAACAGGCGCAATTTTTTATTACAAAAATAAAACTGATGCGAATCCTGCTCGTTGTTAGCTTATTGTAACGAATAAACACGCAAGATTAAATATTAGGAGTAATACATGACATAGCTGGCAATATTGTTTTAACTTATTACCATGACAATTGAGAAGGGGATAACAAAGGCGATTAGATGAAGTTTATTTAGTATTTTCTACAAAGTACCATTTAAAAATCTTTAAAAAACATGAACTACTTAATCCCTAGAAGGCTAAAATTAAATCTAGTGAGAGAAAAATTGTGAATCTTCTCATGCGCTTCGATTAACACGTACGTAACAGAAAGGCAAATGCACTAGATAGAGTCTCAAGTGAAATGATGGTGATAACCTGATTTAAAGCAGGTATAAGCATCAAAATAATAATTTATTCCTTTGCAGGTGATGGTCAGCCAAAAATGACATTCATAAAAACCACATCGCTTATTAACTTCCCAGACATATACATTTGCGGCTTGGATAAATGTCCTTCTGCCTTTAAAATAATTGTCAACCCAAGGTGAATCCATGTCTAAAACCTATTTAAAAAACTCAAGTAACGAACTGCATGGATATACTGGAATTTACGTCGTAGTGGGTAATTCTGTTTTGCAATAAAATATAAGCAGAATCAGAACTGCATACTTTGAATGAGTACTCCTTTTTAGTTTCTGCGTCCAGGTCTCCATTTGCATAGATCCTTCCGGAATGCTGATCAATAGCAAATGGGAGATCACTCTGAGGTTCTAACTCAAAGCGAAGGGTTCGGCCAGAGTGAGACTGTTGAAATTGTTTCGAATTGTGCTGTTCAGAATGAGAAGTGACCTGAACAACTGAATCCGCGTCAGTAACAGAAACTTGCAGAACATTAGACCCGACCGGAACACCTTCCCTAAGCTCAGCCACGTACTGTTCATTTTCAAAAACGGGTGGAAACTCGTTGTTATCAAGAATTTCAACAAATACATTATGGTAGGATTTCCGTACTGGACTTCCGAAATCACGGCAAGCGATTCTGACTGAAATAGTCCATGCTGAATTACAGATCGAACGACCTTTTGAATATGTATGTGTTTCGCAATCTAGCATTATTTCAAGCACGAGTTTATATACAATTTTGCTGCTAGAAACTTGGTGTTCTGCAACCAATTTAATGTTGTTTCCAAACGGAACCTCCGTCTGATGCTGCAGTTGACAGTCAATTTGAGCATTTTCTCCAACGTCAGCGTCAGATACATGAATAAATGCAATATTTGTTGGAGCAATGTTATCCTCAAACACTTGAATCAGACTGCTTTCCTCGCCTCTCTCTTGACACAGTCTGGTTTCCTGAATCCCGCCGAAATTGCATGGCACCCTTGTGACCCGTGAAAGGGCAGGACGAACTGACGTCTTCGATGGATCTCCGTTTGTCAAAATCCTAACTTTACTTGCAGCCGGAAGAACTGTTATTTTAGGGGCGTGGTTATTTACATCAACTACGTAAATGGAGAGTGTAGATCTGCTCAATCGTGATTCTGGTTGACCACCGTCACGGGCTTCCACCCAAATGAGGAACTTTTTCCCACCTTCCAACTGAGAAGTAAGAATTAAATCTCCAGAGACTGGATCCACACGAAAGTGTCGTTGAGTCCTAAAACTGTCGTGCATGTCGGCCACAAGGGAATACCGAATGTTGCCAAAGGCTCCGCTATCTGCGTCGGTTGCATTAATCGTTGTGACGCGGCTTCCGACTGGGATATCCTCACGAAGAACCAAGGAAGTGTTCGCGTTAAGGAACACTGGGGCATTGTCGTTAACATCATGAACGGAAATACATAAGGGCAATGTTGAACATAACATGGACATCCCGTTATCACAGACTGTCAGTGTGCAGTTGTAGGAATCCTGTTTCTCGTAATCCAGCGGATACCGTAGTTGGAGACAAATTTGACTGAAACCCCCATCTCTGGCGGCGGGCGCTGAATGACGTGTTTGGTAAAGAGCAAAGGGATGATTTGTTGGTCCATTCTGGCAATTCAAATGATAAATGAGCTGACTGTTTTGCAAACTGTCAAGGTCCACAGCGTGGGGAAGTTGGACTTTTGTGCCGACAGGGGTATCTTCAGGAAGATCAACAGTTTTGCAACCGCGATTCAAGTCGTAGTTGAATTTCGGAACACAGTCATTGACATCCTGGATAATAATTTTCACTCGAAACCACGACTGTTGTGGTGTTAGAGGAGGAGCGGAATTCGCTCTCCTCGAGACTGAAACACCATAGATAAGACTACATTCCTTCTCTGTTCCGGAAGCAAATGGACAAAGTCTCTCACGGTCTAGTTTGAGTGAATCTGCAACACGAATTACGGAGGAATCCGGGTCAATATTAAAAATGGAATCAGTATCATTAATTGAATGAGATAATGCCTGCACTTCTCCCTCCTGAACGGGTCCTAAATTATAAATCTGGTACCTTAGACCACCAGCAGTTTGGAGAAATGGAAGTTGTTGGTTTAGAATTCCCACGACCGTTCCTGCTTCTGCGTTTTCAGATACAAATAAGGCAATTTCAGTAGAATCTGGTTCACCATGATCTTTAACCCAGGGAATGTAGAAGCCATATGTGCGCTTTGGCTGCTGCAAAAATACCATTAGTATCAGCGTCAGGGATAGTGGAGATATACAGGACCTGAAGAAATGAACAAGTGGAGGAAAACTTCGCATCTAGCATGGAGAGGAAAGTAAGCAGGACGTCAATTCTTTTCCATATTTGGTAAAAACGGTCACAAAACAAACTGGGTTGGAGGTTGTCGAGTCATTGGCACGTCACACCATATGCGAAGTGCCTCACGATGGCCGCATTTGATTGGTTAACTTACCCTCGAATCAGAGATGTGCTTTACAATTATCCAATACGAAGTAAGATGGTCACGTGTCCTGTTAGGAGTCCCATCCATATTTCACAAGCGTGGCTTTGATGACGTACTTGCCACATTTAACCCGAAATACAAGCATTTTTACACAGTGAAGGAGGAAATATAGCAAAAAGGCAAAGGCACATCCCATATGTTAGATATCGTTTACTATAGCACTACAAATGGGAAACATGGGTATTTATAACAATTTACAGCATGTAACGTCGTTTAAACACATTCCAGATGGCATACGGACAGTGGCATTTCCTTTCATAGTTTTCAACGCTCAAGTCTTTTATGTTGAAGGGAATTAAAAATAAGGGTTTTTAAGGCCATTATATCGTCAACTGGGAAGCACTTATACATTTAATGCCATCGTTGTTTAGGTGATATTTAAGGGTTCTGAATGGTAAATGAAAAATCGACTTTCAAATGTTAAACGCTGTGACCTACTACGGTTTTGACCAAATATGAATAAATGTCTTTAAATACTCAAATTGGATTGCAGGCGTGAGATTGCAATGGCAACGAGCTCAACTTTAAATTACTCGTATTAATGTAACGTAATTTTTTTTCAACTGACACAAAGAGCTGCATATATCGACTATTAAAAGAAAATATAATTTGTCACCATGATCTACAATGTAACTAACCTCTACCACGATAGCAGCTAAACTGTCAGTCCGGACTAACTAGACAAGCTAGCCAAGCTGATGCTAATTTCGATTTGACTACTTTGACAATAACCATAGAACTAGACTTGATATGCACCCGTGCACAGTAAACCCTCTACTGTTCTAAACAGTAGGTTGCATAATCATGTTTTTTTTCTTAAATTAACCTTCCTTAGTAAGATTAGTCACTTTTTAAGATTCTGGTCTCATAGCCTTCGTACCTTAGTGAGTGTATTCGCAGGCCGATGTATTGTCCGAACTAGCTGATTATCACATGATGACAGCAAGCTATTCATTTCATCCCAAAAAGGAGGAAAATATTTTCATGAATGATCTGTACGAATTGCAAAATTGTAATTTAGGACAATGGTTTTGGAAAAGCACTTTTGTTTCCAGTGTTAACTGATGCAGACAACTACTCTTATGCAGTTATAAATAGGATAGCTTCTGTAGGCCCTTCTAACGAAGACACGATTACCTGGTCAGGTGGAAAATAATTTGCCACAAATTTGTATTTTTAGCTCAAATTATGCGGACTATGCAGTAATGTAATACGTATATCTGCGTGGTTAAATCAATCTGCGATAGTCTAGTATCGATGCTTCATCTCACGGTAAATGAAACAGTTTTTTTTTACATAACACCAATTTACATGTCTCTGGGCTCACACTTTAACTTTCAGCCATAACTGTGGCTTTTAATTAGTTTTTATCCTGGATGTAACAGTAGAGAAGCCTTCAGGAAGGCAATAGCCCACATCTCTAAATGCGACAATAACACAGATGCTCGTGTGGTAATCCGACACAATGTATGCGTAGTCTCCACCAGGCTGTGGATAATGAAAAAAGCATGAATTAAGTAGTTTGAGGCTTGCACTTATAGCGTGTGAGATACAACCAAAAGAAACCAACTTCAAACTGAGTGAAAAATCAGGCACGACATTTGGTGATTTTTCCGTCATGTCTCGACAATGAAATCAAAAAGTATTCTTAACAATTTTGATTCGGAAACTGCATTCACAAACTACAATGCACTGCTGAATTTTGTTCCAGTTGTATTAAGTGTAATAACTTTGGGATTTTGCCTGAAAATATAAAAGATATAAAATCTTTGTGCATCCTGATCTGCTGATAATTTTTTTCGTGGACATATTGCTGGTCGCAGCAGAGAATTTATCTCCGGAAAAGTCGATTTTTTGCCTTTTTTACAACGCACTTAAAACAATGCAAGAATGGTAAATTCAATTAGTCAGAATGCAGTTACCAATATCTCGGTGACTGTGTAAGTAGTAATCATTTAGTGGACGTTCTGCTGCTTGCCAAATATCGATTTCTGCATATTTATTTGCCAAACTTTCTGTCATAGTTCAGTAGTCTTTGATTAGTGTGAAAACAATTCTAAATAATCATGTTTTCCAATGTTAGCTCTAATGCAAAGGAATATGGGTCCTGCCAGGGTTGACGTTCACCAACGCTTATTTTGATTTCGATTTGCTTGTATCTTGTAGGCTATGCGCCAATTTGAATGAAATGCACTGTTACCCTATTTTAATTTTTGCAGCTTACTCACCGAAATTTACTATGGACATTAAATCTATTTCCTATCTGCTTTAGTTACCGGCTTAGCAATTGTGGCTGTCTTCTCAGAGGACCCTTGTGCAAGCGATTTTTCATCAATGATTTACATAGAAGGCATGGGGTATCATCTGGTACTTAATCACTTCTACAACTTTAACAGCATTCGAAATAATAGAGAGCAGGGAGCGTGAAGTAACCAGAAGTGCAACACTATGGAAGACTTCTAAATAGTAAATAATGAAAAGGGCATGCAAAATTCTGCATTGATACACAAACGGATAGCACGCATCAATGTTTGCTTGTGAAGCTCCGATCAGGTGACCTTCTGCTAAGGATTTAGTCATTCTCCAATGTGCTATGAAAATCCCTTGTAGACGGCGTTTGTTAATCTGCACACAACCTTCATAAGCATTACGTAAAGAGATTAAGATTATTTGCTAGAAAAATATTCTGCAATTAACTTCTTCCACGTCGAGCATTCGAGCCTTCTGTTAGGTCACACAAAATGAGAGGCCTACCTTCCTTTATAATGTGGTTTGCAGAAGACGTTGCATTCTGCGCTGGCAGCCTGTGTTATTCCAATTCGATTAAATGTACACCAACAAGTTACATTTGTGCATTAGGTAGGATTACTTGAGCAAGTTATTCAACCAAGTTCATGTCCCTAACCAAGTCTTCAATCTGTCCAGATGTGCGATTCTACGTAAACTGCTAAGAATGATAAAGGACAAAAATTTTTCTGCTCATCAACATTGAATCCCAGGTTTCGCGAAAACCATTCAAACAAAAAGTTTTATTCTTGGAATTTAATAGCCATTAGCTAGGCTTTTCTGTGATTTTCAGATCTATTTAACTCGAGAGCAAACGGAACTGCGAAAAGATGACATTTCAAGGTCAACACAACTGCTATTGAGCAACTAGATCGATTTGTGTGGACGTGCGTAAATATCTGAAAGCAACAACAAAGTGTAGGAATTACCGTAAATCCGAAATCTGGTCTCTGATAAATCGTGAATTCTCCGAAATACTTCAACGCAAGAATGATGATCTTACACCTTCCAGATTATCATCTGTATGATGTTGCCTCATCCAGCACTGTCCTCAGACAATTTTCTTTCAGTTTGATTCCTAAACAGATAATGATTCCCTTAGGTCAACTGACGGAATCCTTTAAATTCAGTTATTCTACCATTGTAACCCCAAATTAAAGTTTTTGTAACCGCGTAAATTCTTTTTGCCGAAAAAAATGCGAAGCTTGGAAAGCAGGTGTTATTTTTCACGAGGAATGACTGATTTATGTATGATCTTATTTTATTTTCACATATTCCTCGACAATTTTCACTAGGTCCCTAATTTTATGAATTTATTTTCGAAAAAATTCCAAAATTCCAATTCAGTTTGGAGATGATGGTAAAACTAGACTTGGTTTCATGTAATAAGTCTTTGATGATCGAATTGGCACCTCGGTACAAAATGGCTTCCTGAGATGACTTCTAAAGCTGGCAAAACGCTTATTTTATAAATAATCGGTTCCTGCGCTTTCGGTTTAGTTAAAACCGTAGTTTGTTGGGTGCTAGCAGCTAAAATTCCAATTATAATGCATTCAGATTGACTGTCAAATTTCCTTTTGGAATTATTTACGGCCATCATCAAGGCATACTATAATTTTAAATATACTTCTTTCGTGAAATCACATATAAGTCTCACAACGAGGGAGCGTTTTTTTCCTGGGAGCTAGTCAATGGCTATTATTTTGCATCAAACTTCTTACTGCAGCCAAGTTTGTATATTATAACTATTCTATTTCAATAACTTTACTACATTACTCTAGTGCCAGAGCTCAACAGGAGTAATTAAATGGTTTAACAAAAACCCCACTGCGTCGCTATAACTCAAATAAATCAATTTTTTCATCTCCTTTGACTCGTTACAAAAAGGGCCTAAAGTGGCTTGAACTTCTAATTTGAAACCTTCGGAACGATTATTGCTCCGGGATTTATAAAAACCCCAACACTGCGAGATTTATGTTTTATTGCTTTTATACTAAAATTTTCGCTCTACTACGTTTGTTGTCACATTCAACTTCATAAGCTTAAAACTCCAAATGGTAAAAATCAGGTCATCTACAGCCACCAATCATGTGTTGTTTGATCTTGTCAAAAACTTCAGCAACATTATAAGTTTATTGTTCTCGTTACTACCTTCGTCGTGGTCTGCTAGAGCTATTAGTGGAATATAAATTTTCACCTATTTTCAATATTCTAAGAAAATAGGTGAAAAGCCCATTGCGTCAATCACATTCCCGTGCCAAATTACGCAGTGAGAGGACTAATGCAGGAATCTCCGTTTGACGCCAGCCCTACCTTTTCAAAGCCAAGTCGAAGACGAGACCTCGTGCAAGGCGTTTTAGCTGTCTGCCGAAGCCAATTTACATGACGGGATGGACAGCGCATATGGGCCTTGACCTCGACCCGATGGATTAACAC